GTGAAAACTCACTGAATTTGGGAAGCGAATGAGAATCATGTGGGTGTGCGCCATCACAGGCACTCGCCTTTGAATGCTCAAAGATGTACGGGGGACTAAGTCAGAGAATGGACTAATAGGAGCAGAGGCACGTCAGGGTAGAGAGAGGAAGCTGATTATGACGAGACAAAGGTGAAAGGATAGACTTCAGGAGCAGCGACAGAGCGGGCAGATCTCCCCCTCGAGATCGAGATGTGGGACTAGCTGAAGAAATGAAGGTAAAGCTCCTCATCGCAAAATGCTTTGAAGATGGAATCACTCCAGAAAACCTCTGTCATGGAGAATTTGTGATGGAAAATGGGGTGAAGATCTTCAAGGTAGATGAAAATGTGGGTAGATTGACGACAACGTGGCTCAAAGAGAGAGTGGTCACAGTCATCTTTCCAGGAGCAGCAAGGGATCTCCCTCTGAAAGTGAGGGAAAATCTAATAAGGGCATATGAAAACGGATGGACGCGCCAGCGGATTTTTGATCGAAAGGTACGAAGAGGGAGAACTCACAGTGAGGGGCCAAATATTATCTCCTATATTGCAATGACTACCGAAATAGCACAGTGGATGGTGGCCAAGGCAGAGGACAAGGTAGTAGTGGGGGGAGTAGAGTACGCAATGCTCTTCAAACCGTGGATGACGAGGAAAGAGTTGCAGGATAGGAGAAGAGTGGACAACAAAACGAAGTTTTTGGTGATTGCATTGAGAGTTCCGATTCGGGCAGCGTTCCACGTTCACGACATGCTAGAGAAGTCGATGGGCAGGGTGGTTAAAGTGTACGACGCGGAGCCAGATAAAACTCGACCGAAGTTGATGAACAGAAAGTATGATCTCATAAAGGAGGCGAAGGGCAATTTTGAGCAGGAGCTACCGATGAAACTGGAAGACGGCGAAGTTATGACGATAAAGTTTGTATGTAAGCATACTCCTTGGTGCCACCGATATCGCTGGTGGTTCCATACGGCTGATAACGGATGTCCTCGTGCAGAAGAAGAAGCAGAGCAAGATGGAGCGGGAGGAAGATCGAGAGGTAACTTCAATTTTAACCCCAAGACAGCGGATTTTCGGTCAGCGGGCTTCCATAGGGGCATCGAGGAAGCAGTCGGAGACATGCAAGTAAGAAGTGGACAGAGACAACACTCAGCCGTCCAATCTGGAGGGAGGATACCGAGAGGGGAGTCTTCCAATCAAGCACAGCACTCAGTCTTGCAGACACGAGGAAGTGGGCTGGCAGAAAAGGCCCAAGAGGTTGGCAGCCACAAGGAGGTGGGACGCAACAAGTCCAGCAGATGGTTGGGAATAACCCCATAGGAGGAGACCCGATCGGTGCTTTCATCCCGTATGTGAGTAGTGGTCTGCATCCCTGGCAAACCCAATAGGCGGCAGGGATATGGCAACATGCACAAGCATGGCAAGATTCAGGAAGGATGATGCGTCAAGGAGGCATGATAAGGCCACCAGGGGGTCTATACCCGGTCGCAGGGTATCAAGATGTGAGAGCGAGTGGATTGGAATCAAGAAACTTCGCTCCGCAGCAACAAGCAAGGGGAGAACTAAACCAGGAGTGAGCTTTGGTGGTACGTCAACCAAATCCGAATGGGGAGGATCGAACCTCACACGAAGTGATTATCAGGGAACACCAACCCCCCCCGTCGGGGATGGACATCGAGGAAGTAAGCCCGTTGGGGAAACGCAAAGAGAGAGAAAGAGGAGCGAGTGCAGCAACATCGAACGCATCAACAACGCAAGGAGGGGCACGCACAGGAATCAACGAGCAAGAGGAAAACTCTCGATGGGTGATACCGGAAGGAGTAACCACTTTAGAAAGAGGGGAAAGGGAGAGGGAGGAATCCTTCTTGCTTCCCTTTGTCTGTGCTTTGCATGGGCAAGAAATATTCGTAATAGGCCTTAAGGCTCAAGACGGATTTATGGCTCTCCCGGCAGTTCCGATCCAAGGTCTAGCGACTCCGGAGATTATTGCTACGCAGACCAGAAGGATATACAACGACCGATTCCAGTTCCGAATCTTTCCGAAAGAAATGATGGCGAAACTGATTACAGATCTTCCGGGGGGGCGAAGACTGGAGTACGCAGCACCACTGATTGATGCAAGGATCCCTCCAGAGTGCTGGAACGGGTTGAACAATGTGGGGCTGGAATGTGTACGCCTCAACTGTTTTGTCACAAATGAGGTAGCGGTTTTGTCCCAGATTGCGGTTGATCCGGGATTACCGGCTAGCTTCTTAGCAGGGTTAGACAGGCTATTACCGATATCACGAAATTTGTCATCTCAGTACTTTGTTAATGCCCTTCGAGGTAGCTGTGAGGAAACCAGGTTGTTGAGGACTGACAGTGAGGGAGGCAATCATCACGCGAGCGCGTCAGCGCCGGCAATTGTCTAGAGATGAGTAGGTGTCGGCTTGTTACCTGGAATGTGCAAGGGCTGAGAGACACGGGAGGTAGATGTAAGAGGACTAGAATTAAGTCATGGGTACACGCGAAAAAGGAAGATATCTTGATCATTCAAGAAACGAAACTTTCAGAAAGGAAGTTAACTGAATTGAAGGACTGGTGGACTGGTCCACAACTATGGTCACCAGCGAGGGGAAGTAAAGGTGGGGTGGCGATCCTTGTTCAGAGCAGAATAGATGCACAACTTACCGATTTTGACTCGGACCTATGGGGAAGATGGTGCTAGGTTAAGTTGAGTATAGGAGAGGAGGATTGGACTCTTGCCTCTGTGTACGCACCAAATGATCCGCAGGAAAGGTTAGCCTTTTATGAAACATTGTCACTGGTTTTGCCAAAGACTGATAAGTTGGTTGTTGCAGGAGATTGGATTCAGATAGTTGCCCCTGGTATTGATTCAGAGAAAGAGGACACACCGAAAAAAAAACCATAGCTACCTGATTAGTTCGATGGAGGCCTGGGGGTTGAAAGACATCTACAGGATCATATATCCAAACAGCGAAGGATTTACCTGGTTTGGTAATCCAGTTACGACCCCATTTACGAAGAGAAGGTTGGATTTCTTTCTCATCTCAGAAGAAGCATGTAAGTTGATTGTTAAAGTGGAGGAACAGAAAGACCCGGTCTCAGATCATAATCTAGTAATTCTAGACATTGCAATGGGCCAGAATTTGGAGCGTGGACCAGGATTGTTTAGGTTGAACGTCTCAAATCTGGAGGATGAAGGCTGGAGGAAGTGGGTGGATGATTTATGGACCTCGTGGAAAAATGTCAGGGCTTGCTTCGACACAGTAGCAGAATGGATGGACGGGGGCCTTCGGATAATTGCGCAAATTTGATATCTTCTCACAATCGCTGCTTTTCAAAGAAACAGCGAGGAGAGGACTCTCTGGAGGAGGGTAGAAGAAGCGGAAAGAAACATGTGTGGCCATCCAGTCTCAGAGGCAGCCTGGGCAGAGGAAAGGGCGGAAAGAGTTAAAGTGTGGGAGTTGCATCAAGAGAATAAAGAGAAGAGATGGAGACAGATCCTGGAAGTGAAAGGGATCCTAACATCAGACAGAATCACTAAGCACTCCTTCAAGAAACTCCTTCCCTAGAGGAAGCAAGTCATCATGTCCGAGTTAGAACACCCGCTGCTGCCAGACATGCCAAGAGCATGTACGCTGGACTCAATGAACGAGTACGCGATGGCATACTTTCAGGACATCCTAACTTCCTGACAGTTGGACGAGACCATAGACACAGACATGTCGCTCTACACAGATCTCTGGAGCAACTTGCAGGCTACCCTCACACCACGCCACAGACAGGGGCTTGACAAACCTGTCACGTCGGAGGAATTGCAACAGACTGTCAAGGCAATGGTCAAGGGCAAAACGCCCGGGGACGATGGTCTCCCATTAGAATTTTATGCAGCATGTGGGGCTACCCTGCAAGATGATCTGGTACAAATTTATAACAAAGTTCTAGTAGGCGGAAATCTCGGACTGACAATGACCAAAGGTATCATTACCCTGATGTTCAAGAAGGGAGATAAGTCGCTAGTCAAGAACTGACGACCTATATCCCTTCTAAACATCAGTTACAAGATATTGGCTAAGACGCTGGCTAGCAGGTTAGCGGTAGTCCTTCTAGATCTGGTAGGTAAGGAACAGGGTGCATTCGTGAGAGGGAGATCTATGTTTGAGAATATCCTGACTGCAATTCAAGTTTTGGAGGAGATAGAAGCAGAGGACAGAGAAATGGCAGTCTTGCTACTGGATCTAGAGAAAGCATATGCCAGAGTGAATGGGGCATTCGTGATGACAACACTGAAACAAATGGGTTTCGGAGAGTGTTTCTGCAGGTGGGTTAAAGTTTTATACTCTTATTTTACTGCAGCGATAATGGTAAATGGTCGATGTTTTGAAGAGTTTGCCCTCTCGAGATCTCTCAGGCAAGGGTGCCCAATTGCACCGCTGCTGTTTGTGGTGCAAATGGAGGTGCTGATCAACAGTATCAGAAGGAACACATCAATCAAAGGGCTGAAAATCTCGATAGACAAAGAATGTCACGTCAAAGCGCTGGCAAACGACTTGTTTGCGGTCTGCGAGAACAGGAAGGACTCCTTGGAAGCGCTCAAGAGATGCCTGACCATTTATGCTGAGTACTTTGAAGTTGCAGTAAATTGGGACAAATCTACCTATTTTCTCCCAGTACCACTGCAACTACAGGTAAATTGGGGGATGAACAGAGTAGCAGCAGGCAAGTCAGAACGGTTCTTAGGAGTAATGGTTGCGCTGGAGGACTGCTCCTCCTCCCAAGGCATAATTTTACAAAAGAGGGTGAAAAACAAGATTAAGGATTAAGGGGAAGCTAGGCATTTATCACTGATTGGTAGGGCTCTGGCCATTAATGTCTCGGCCTTTAGCCTACTGTGGTTTGTGGCCAAAACAAGAAATATTCCTCCAGAGGCGTTGAAAGAGATCAAACGAGCAGCGAGAGTCTTCCTATGGAAGCCATACGCGAAACCAGGAGAGGGATGCTTGGCGAAGGTGGCATGGGAGATATTGTGCCGTCCACGAGAAGAGGGAGGCCTGGATCTTACAGATCCACAGACACAAAACCAGATCCTCCTGTGCCAGTGGATTCTTAAGGCAATAGAAGCAGACCAGGACGCAGACTGGGTCCTACTTGCAGAAGGTATCCTGAAAAGGGAATGGGGTTTGAACAAGAGTGAGGATGTTTAGAATGCAATCATGATGGAAGCTTTTATGGGGAAAATGATTAAGTCGCGACTGTGGAAGGAAGTCCTTCAAGCATGGAGGGCACTGAGGCCAAATCTTAGAATACCGCCAAGTTCAAAGCAACAGATTCTCGCACAGCACCTCTTCGACAACTCGAATGTCACAGCACATCAAGGACCCACCCTCAGTGCTAAGAAGGGACAATGACTTTTCGGATACAAATGGGTACAGAGAGGTGTGGCAACGGTTCGGGATATCTGGGATGAAGGAACAAACCAGTGGAGGAGCGCAGCGAACTTGAAGGAGTCACTGGGTCAATTACCAGACCAGGAGGAAAGACTCAGACAAATAATAGAAGCTTTGCCCCTAGAATGGAAGCTCCTCCTGGGCCCGAGTGGAGTCAACCCACCAGGAACATGGTTTCGTGCGGAAGATCCAGGGAATCAGCGCTTCTATAGGTTGGAAAAATGGGATGAAGTGCGGGAGGGGAAGTGTGTAATGCAGGTCTTCGAAAAGGAGAGTCAGGATGCCCCCAAGCTTATTTCCTTCGGTATTGTGGAAAGATATGGACTTAGTGGCCTAAGAATAGGAGAAAAGAAGAATCAAGTACCTATGATTGTAGGGGGTGGAAGACCGTATCAGAAATTAAGGTTAGACTCAGAAGCTTGGGGTTGGTCAGGGAAAAGTCAGAACATAGTGGGAAGAACCAGGACACTCGGTTTCTGTCGGCAATCGCAGTAGATTGCAATGGGTAAAGGGTGGGAAGGAGAGTGTCCCGGGGGGGGGGGAGAGGCTTTAGGAACGCTGTGAGCAGTCCTCTCGGTCGTGGTGGGCCGGGGACAGACCGGTATTGTAGGTCTGTGTATCTGTAGATTTAAGGTAGGGAAGAGAGGATATAGTCGGATAGATAGATCTGGAATTGGAATGGTGGAATTGGATAGGAAGAAGGAAGAGTAGATTGAGGCTACGACCCATTCGTGGAGTTACACAGTAGAATTTCAAGTTTCAAGCGAAACTGGCTAAGGCTGCCAGGATAACTCCGGGTTGAATTGTGAGGGTCCCCGACCTTGTTGATATTGTTTTCAAAGAATGAATGGAATGCTTTGTTTAAAAAAAAAAAAAACTCACCGAATTTGGAGTACTTTTTAAGTTGGCCCACATATGGCTGAGTGGCAAAAATGGA